ATAGCTCAACAACTTCGACAATATTCCGATACTTTCCATTGTTAAGAAAATGGATTTTTGTTGACAGATGAGATGCTATAATAGCATAGTTTTCCTAACACCTTGAATAGTACGAACCTATCCCCACATTGGAAGGGACAACACTTGTCCGAGGTGTGAGGAAAAGTAAAGTGTCAGTTTAAATTATCTTTACTGACACTTTTAAATGCCGTTAAAGGTCATTTTTGTTGTAGTGACAGAGATGCAAACTTGATAAAAGGCAAAAAAATGAGAAGAAAGCGAGTGGATGTGGCATTTAATAATTAGTCTTTAGGGTTATGGAAAACCTATTCTTATAGATATATCTATATATTTCAATTTAATAGACAAAAACAAAAAACCACCGGTTCAACGGTTCAATTCAATTCAAACGGTTCTTACCAGTTTTTAACTTCAATTAACCCAAGGTATGAACCGGACAGAAACTATGACCAGTTCACGGCCAATCAGTCGAACTAGCCAGCCCGGTCCGATTTTCGAAACAATGGTTCCTTCCCTTATCTCGCTTTAACATTTTTTCCTAGTTCAACATATATGGTTCAATTGCAAGGCAAACTGGTCATACGTAACCGTCAAATACGGTGTACTCAAGTATGGAGTAAAATGAAGCAATATTTTTCAGGAAGAAGGTGTAGGAACTCAAGTCATTATTTGGTGTCAAGATTATCAAATTTGGCATTTGGGATAAACTAGTTATATACAGTGCCACATAACCAGTGCGCATCAGAAACACACACACTTAATAAAAGTACTCCTCAAGTTCTTTTGGTAAATGTCGAATTTGACAGAGCTTTTGCCGGGAAACATATGTACGTTCTACTTCATTGATTTTTTTTTTTTATAAAATAGAATAAAAAGAAATATAAATTGAAAACTTACAATGTGAACATCCTAAGCCAATTTTCTTGACAAACAGCATATGAAGCCTTTTGTTGTCTCAAATGCGATTGCGACCTTCTAATTTCATTTATATTGCTGTCCTATCTTGGCATTGCAAGAAGTCAAAACTTGCTGCTTCACTGCTTAAACCGCTGCTTGTCTTATTAGCTATCATTCATTAATGCATTCACGAAGACTTCACCGTGATGAATGCTCTAACAAACATTCATTTGTCGAGAGGGTCATGATCCATTAACTAAGATTGCGAATTCAAGAACTAGATATCCTAAATTTTTTCTTTGGATGAATTTTTGTACACTAATAATGTACATATTATCAGTTTTGGATGACTGATAACTATGCAAAATTTATCTTTAAAATCTAATTTTTGCACATGTATCATAAATTTAACAGTGATTGTATATATAATATCAGTGTATAGAAAATTTACCATTTTTTCTTTTTGTTTCTTAAATTTCACACCTCTAGTTTAAAAAAAAAAAAGAATGAGTATCAATTTGTAATGATTTACCATATTCTCAATCCATTATGCCTTTTTTTTTGTGAGTAATACCCCAATAATCTGATAATCGCGTCGGATCCTAACTAATCTAAAGTCAAATAGTCGGATCCCTTTTGAAAGTGATTCTTCTAACGTTATTTTCTCCATTCATAAAAGTGTTGGGGTTGTTCTTGATTCATTATGGCAATCGATTATAGACTATGATGTTGAAAAACTAGTTTTTGTGACGTTTTTTTATTACTTTTATATCCTGATTATAGATTTGGTAGCTAAAATCTATAATACCCAAATAGTAGTTTTTACTGATACTAATTATTTCTTGTAATCAATTTCTATAATCAAATTTTATAAAATCTAAAGCAATCGAAAAAGCAAGACCTTAATAGGTGTCGAGTTCATTGTCACTTGGCTCAACAACAATGAGTGAACTATGTTTTCGTTAAAGAGACGTTTTCCAGAAAATGAGCATCTTTTGAAGCATGTACTACTCGCTCTTTGATGCACTGCCATAACGCTAAGATGGCCTTTCCGCCATACAATACCTCAGGCCACGATTGAGTCATTTTACCCACACAGCTAGCATGCCATCAGAACTTAATGATAGACCTGCTTGGCCTACTCGGAACTACTTATTTTGTCTCCGTGCCTCGCGTCGGCATAAACTATGCAAATCAGTGGTCAAAGCTGTCAGTATCGTTAGGAATGAGTTTGCGGTTTCGAGCCTAGCTGCAAGTCAAAGTTTTGGGTGTCAAACCATTCTCATAAATTGCAGAAAATGACCTCTCAACGGCATAGTGACTTTAGTGCATTGAGAGCTTAATCCGTATTTGTCGAATACTGCTATTTTTACTCTTTTCCAATCAAATTACCCGTGGAAAATAATTCCAAGTCTCAATAGGATATCTATGCCCAAAGCCAAAGGAAATTTGGGAGGATCGGAATGGATTTAAAAATTATGGGATTTAAGATCAATGATGCCCAGTTAAATATGAGAATGGCTGGGTATTGATCGGGAATCCTAGGACCCAACTTAATTGCTCTCTATACCATTTTCTTTTTTTTGTTTGTCTTTTGTTTAGCTCTCTCTCTATCTTTTTTCCTTTTATTTTCATTTCTTAGAAAATCATTAACGAAATATGTTGAAGTTTCTTATTAAGGGCTACTTGTGAACATAAGAAATATCAAAGAAGGATTTGAAAATCAAACGTTCAATAACCTAAAAACATGAAAAGTTTCAGTTTTAAGTCTAAACAAGAAACAATGGTAGCCATTAGAATAAAGTTTCAAAGTTTAATTTTTTTTTTTCACATTTTGACGGGGACCTTCTCTTCTGTTTTCTATAACGTGTAAAACTTGTTGTGCGTTTTTTAGTCGGAATACTAAACTTGGGCAAGTGTCAGTGTCCTACAATCAATTCAATGGCTGAATTCCAAGGACACTTGGATAATTGATCAAGTTCAAGGAATTATTTATTGGGGGAAATATTACACTACATTTTACACATTTCATGAGGTTGAGCATAATTTTCATACAGGACTAAATTTATAAAAATATCATATTTCCAAGGGATGTGGAGTTCTTACCTATGATTGAAAGTGAAAAATTAATTTGAGGATTAAATTGGTTAGAATTATTATTTTTTAAAATGAATTAGTTTGAGGACAATGAAAGCACTGTGCACTCGTCTTGCCCACAGAGTGTCCTCCTTAGCACAAACATTCTAATGATTAAGTATTTAATGATTGACTGAGTCGACTAACCAAAAACAACAGTATTATCCTTCCAATAAATTATGCAAACTAAAAGAAATGAAAATTTTCACTTTAAGAAAATATAACAAACCTAATATTGCCTTATAGAATTTTGCTAACTTTAATAGATTGTTATCATTATTATTCAGCCTGAAGTCATGACTGAAAGTGATATATACGAAGACAGAGATTAAGCAGTATTTGAAGACGAGGAATTTGAAGACAAAGATTAACTTTGTGTGTTTGAATTTATGGAAGACGAGGAATTCAGCAGTATTTGAAGGGGTTATTAAGGATGTCCGATCTGTTTGTCGCGCTATTTTTTAAAACTTGAAAGACGCATACTGGATGAAATTTGGGGAATTACAACAGGTCGCATCTTGGCCCCAATTCTTGGGATTGGTGGAGCAGCGCCCTGATGTGGTTAAGTTTCATCTGGTTCATTGGCAGGTTCTAACATAGATAGGCGCTCCAAATGAAACCCGGGGTTGAGTGGTGGTAGGGGGATTCTTAAGGATGGCTAGGGAAGTTCATCTTCGCTTTCGCTGGTTGCTTTGATGTTGCTACTAGCTTGCAGGCCGAGGCCAAAGCGTTAGTGCTTGGGCTGAGTCTATGTGCCTAGAGGAATTTTTTACAGCAGTTGGTGGTTGAGTCGGATTCGCTAGTGCTAATAAAGATTTTGAGGAACGATTATCAATGCCTGTGGACGATTAGTTATGAGATCGAGCAGTGTTGCGAGTTCTCTCAGGGGGTTGTACAGTTCAAGCATTGCTATCGTGAGGCCAATAAGGTTGCGGATGTTCTAGCCAATGTGGGGTGTGCCTTGGTTGAGTCGGTATGTATTTATGAACATTTCAGGGACTTACCAGGTGTAGTTAGGGGTGAATATCGGTTGAATAAACTATCCTACCCGTCTATTCGGCGACGTTGAGTTAAGTAAGTAGGTGTCTTGTAGCTGTCTTGTATCGTTGAGGTCAGGGCTTTTGTCCCTCTCAAGAACTGTTCCGAAGCAATAAAATCCAAGCTTTTTGGTTAAAAAAATGAATAATAAAAGATTTTAGGGAAAATAAGACAATATTTTTGGGTAGTCTATATACTATGGAGAAGACGACAAATTTTTACATTAAAAGGATGCCAAAAAATTGAAATACAAGTTTAACCTTACATTTTTTACTTTTATTTCTTTGTTTGCTTTTTTTTAGGTAAAAAATACAGGAATTGGATTAAACTGATAAAAGGAAAAGAACTCACTTTTCTTAAAATCTCCTTAGTTTTATTGGATTAATGTTTTATTGGATCAAAATAGGATCACTGATTAAAGTTGACGGACTATTGGAGTCATTTACCCGAACCATTATTTTGCCCTCTAAAATCGTCATGGACAAGTGTTAATCCGAGGCTGAAATTCATTGTAATCTACCTTTCTTTTATACTTGAGAATATGCTCAATCTGTTACACTCATTATCAACTAGTCAGTTAGACTTCTGGCATTTGTGCTATGATCTTCTGTATGCTTTTGACATCACTTTATGTATGGCTAGACTAAATATTAGACGGATACATACCTAAGTGAGGGTTTTTTGAAAATATATGCATTGGTTAATTTAAGTATACCCAAAAGGAAAAAAAAGAAAAGAAAAAAAGGAGCAATTTGATAATGGTTTATTGATTGACAGATAAAACCAACCAAAAACTAGTGTTGGCTTTGTTGTGAATTTGAAATACTAAAATTACTCATTTTTTGGTGGAAACTTGCAAAATTGACTCCGTATTGCATGAAAAGATTTTGCCATCACCTCAAAAGTGCTCAAAAAAGACACACAAAATCACAAACTCATATTACATGGAGTACATATTACAGGATCATTGATCCAGCACTTATTTGAATTTCACATTACAAAGTACATAATATTATAGTAAGCCTGTTTAAGCGTTCATGATTAATCATGACCTAGCTAGAAGCTGGCTTTATTAGTTCTGAGGCTCAGCATCTGCAGCCTCACCAGGATGTCCACCATGGCCGCCACCGCCATGATGCCCTCCATGTCCATAACCACCATGGCCGCCACCGTACCCTCCATGTCCTCCTCCGTAGCCACCTCAATGGTGTCCTCCGTAACCTCCTCCATGACCTCCTCCGTAGCCTCCTCCGTGGCCTCCTCCGTAGCCTCCTCCGTGGTACTTGGCTTCTCCTTCCTCATTTGTCTCAACTGTCTTGGCTGCAATAAAGATAAATAGGGTATGGGCGTTAGTTACTGTAATCGCAATTTTGAAAATGTAAAGTTTGGACCAAGTTGTGTACATGCTTTTAGGTTACCGAGTATTTTAGCAAAACACATCGTAATCCTTTTGAAAATTTGCCTTTTAACGTATGTGTCAAATTATTATTTTACAGATATCTTTAAAATGGCTAATTACTACCAACTAATAGCTATTTTATCATAGTTTCTGAAAGTTAATAAATATAAAGATTTGTTAACAGTATGTTCAAAATGAGAATCTTAAATCCGTATTTTATGCACCGACACGTACCAGGAAAAGTACAGGAAAGGCTTGACACTTAGAATCCGTATTTACTGAAAGTAGAGGTGTATTCAATCTTTTTAACCACAATTCAGCCATGTTTCTTAGTACTCCGACACTTCACATGTACAACAAAAATCAAAATTTTTTTTTTTGAAGGACAACAAAAATCTATATGGCGCATATAAATTAGAAAGAGAAAAAATGATGAAATGTGAATTGAAGAATAAATGTCTTACAATTGTCAACTGACTTGGCAGCCACCTCTGATGTAATCATTAGAACTACAGCCATGGAAATGAAAAAGAAAAGAAGTGTCTTGGAACCCATTTTTGCTCAAAGGAAAATTTATGTATCGAAGACAGATTTTGAGAAGGATGAGGAAGCTGGTGCAGATTGATCTCTATTTATAGGAAAACCTATGCCACGTTCCCATCGAAAGGGTCCCGGAGTCGGCCCACCAATGTATTAGGTGTTGAAGAGGCGGTTGTCGTGCTAGGTCGAAAGTCTATATAAGCGTAAACAAATAGAAAGATGTACGGAGAAGCATTTGTTCTAATTTCTACAAAGGTCTTTAAGGCATATAGACTTCGAGCACCATGGAGAAGATAAGGTTCATGTCTCCCATATTCAACACTATGTCCCAGCATTAATATAATTTGGACTCTGCACCGACTTCGATGGATTATATGTGTTGGGATATCAAATGTGAATCAATATCCCACATTGGAAAGAGATGAGTAGAATGAGGAACATATAAGTGGGAATGATCCATAGACCCAATACCTTAAGGTTTTGGGTTGGATGTGGTGTCAAACCCATGGTTGTAGTTCTCATTCTAACTCATGGTTAAATTCTCCCCGAGTTTGGCTCTCTCAGAGCCCAACAATATGCTTTCCAATTTGATTGACGTATCAATTATTTTAAAAGAAGAAAAGAAACAAGGAAGAACACGTCAAATTTGCAATAGTTCCAAGAGAAGCATGATTAGAATTATGTAACTTTTTATTTACATCAGAAGACACAATAATATCTTTTATTATGTATGTTAAAAACCTATAAGTTGTAAATATAAGATAGGGTCTTGTTATGCCCTTAAATCTAATTCTATTGACTGAATTTGAAGCATAAACGAAAGTTACTTGTATGCATACATCTAAAGCCGATTTGCGAAGAAGAATCTTTTGAAGAAGAGCAGAAGTAGTTTTATGAACGTATATATATATTTATGCCTATGTTTTCCAAATAAGGAGACACAACATTAGTAAAATTCTGCCTCCAAATAAATGAAGGATAATATAAACACACTAAAAGTGGAATCTCAACCTCGCCTCATAAGGATAGTTATGATTACTGCTTTGGAACCTCTAGTTTTGGTTCAATTTTAGTTTCGATTCTTTTCTAGATATGGTTCTAGTTCTTGTAGTTATCATTCCGGATCTTCTAATTGCACTTATATACTTATTGTTTCACCATTGAATTTGAGAAAATATAGCAATGAATCTGGAAGAAAAATAAGACTTTTAGTATATTATTAGCTGAAAAAATATATATGTTTTGGGTGGCGACACCATATAGGTCCTCAATTGGTATAAAAATTTTAGTTAAAGGACTTAATTCATGTGATAAAACGTTAAGGGACCAAATCGGCTTTAGTGAAATAATTTGAGGACTAAATTGGCGATTTTTCCTATATTTAAATTGTAAAGTATTTTTTTAAAAGCATTTAAACTGCAAACTACAAATGTTTGGGGACATTTCAAAATATAAAATATGACACTTTAAATTGGACGAATGAAGTACTAATTTCAGTTGTACATTTAAACCATTAGTTATGTTCAATTTAAAATATTTGATGTCTCCAAATGTTTGTCATCTTATCAAAATCAAAATTAATATCATCCCAACCTTTACCTATGCTTCATCCTAGATTCACATTTGAATTTCAAATTTTGGATGAAAAAATTGGAAACTGATAAGTGACTAATTTACGTAATAATTGTATGACATTTTATATTATTTTTAGTCACTTTGGTTATATTATTGGAAGAATATGAATCATTTTGGCTATAATTGGTGAAAAATGCTTTTAAGTGGTTAAATGAGGTTTTTATCACTTTTTACTTGGATTTTGTGTATTTTGACAGTTTTGACACATTTTCGTATTTCGGCTATAACTTGAGTTACAATGATCGGATTGGGATGATTCTTGAACCCATTTGAAGATAAGAGATAGATCTACAACTTTGGTGAAGACATCTGAATCCAGTTTGAAGGTTTTCCAAGTCAAAAATCCGAAGTACAGTAGCCAATTTCATTTGGTCGAAACTGGAACAAGGCATGAAGCAGGCAAGGGTATTTCCGTCATATCTCAGCCTACACAGATCCAAATGAGGTGATTCTTGATGCATTGGAAAGATAACTCAAAAGGCTACAACTTTTATGTTTTAGACATGAGCTGGTACAGCTTCTAACATCAAGAAAAGATCGGTTGAAGTTGGGCAAAAAAACAGAGCAAGTGATCCGCACTCGGATCCACTATTCATCCGAACCCTCGGCTGTTTCTGGGTAAGTGGAACCGAGCTCGGATCCATACGGATCCGAGTACTGTAGCAGCTCGGATCACTGTAGCATCCAAAATTACTGTAGCAATCCGGCAGGAATTTGGCCGGATTTATGGTCGGATTGTGGTCAGAAAAGGCTGCTCTGTACGCGTAAAACTCAATTTCAGTCCCACCAACTCACATGCGATGCTAGACATGTGAGAAACATTCCCAGCTGTAAAAGGAAGGTGGAGGCCTCATTTCTTGACCAACTTTCATCATTAAATAGCCAAATTCATTGCAAGAGAAAAAGGAGGAAGAGATTGGAGTCCATAGCAGAAAAATAGAGAGTGAGCTACGGGAGAAAGCTTGAAGCTGCAGAAATGTAGCTCTTTCATCTCCCTAGTGTTAGTTTAGCTTAGTATAGAGTAGTGTAGCTTTTCCATTCTTGTTTATTATCTAGATTAGGATGAAGATGGAGGATGAAGAAGGCAAGGAAGAAAGCTCATATGACAAGGGTTGTATTCCTTCCAAACTCTTTATCTTTTGTATTTGATTCCAAGTTTAGTTAATATACAAGTTCTGGATTTTGTGTTCAATATGTGTGTTTAAAGTTTAAGCCTTGGGTTTGGTTGAACTTTCTATGATTGTTAGTGTTAATTGTTTGGTTATTTGATTGCTACGATTTGAGCAAGTTATTTAGCACTTTGGCTCTTTAAATCATGATTAATCCGGTACCATTAATTGTGATTATCTAAGGTATTGTTTCTGCAATGAAAATTGAGATTTAACACTGGTTCAAGAAGTGCTAAACATAGGGAGTACACTCACGAAAGTAGAGGTGCACTTATGTGGTTTTAGTGATTCATTTCATGTAATTTCATTGAATAAATGAACTTGTAGCTAATTTCATAACCATGAAAATAGGTATGGATTAGTTATAAGTATAGTTGATTCACTACGAAAGTAGGTTTCATATGTTTAAGGAAATTACACCATAACTAGCCTAGATAGTAGTATTCAATGATCCAATTATAGCATTTGCATGAGTAGTTAGGGATACCACAACCTAAGGAGCTTTCAATTGCTATTTTCTTGCATAATTTCAGTAGGTTTTAATTTGTTATAATTCATTGATAGTCTAAATAATAGAGAAGCTTTAGTAGTACCGGTAATTGCAATATTCCTTGTGGGATCGACCCTTAATACCCTATACTCGCTCACGATTCGTATACTTGCGATAAATCGCGTGTGGGGTATTTAGGAGTTTATAAATGTAAAACTTGGTTAGGATGAGCTTAATTGTATATGTATACTTCGCGCACGTCAGAAACGAAAACACTAATATCACAATTTAGACACTATTCTTAACTAGTTGAAATCCTGAAATGCGACAAACACTTTGGGACAAAGGGAGTACATGATTTGAAATGTGAAATTTGTGGTCCTAAAATAAAAGGACGAAATTAGACTAGGCAAAAAATGTCTTGCTACTGTCAACTGACATGGAGGACTCAGCCAATTCCCTAGCAATTAACCACCTCTGAGGCAATCATTAACACGGTAGCTAGCCATGGAAATGCAATAGAAAAGAAGTGTCTTCGAACCCATTTTAATTTGCTCAAGGAAACGATTTTGTGAAGGATGAGAAAGCTGGAGTAGATATTGATGTCTACTTATAGGTAATTCTTTGTAAAATTGCCGTCAAAGGGGTCCTGGCCTCGGCCAACGATGTAGTTGGACTTTAAAGTTTAAACAGATGATTGATTGCTGTATTTGGTACGATGTCAATGTCAAGAAAATTAGTGATATACCAAATGCACTTAGTCTATTCACCCTTTCACAGCAATCATACAAGTGATTAATACATCAAAAAGAATTTACTCAGTCCATCAAATGTATGCGAAGTCCATATTGCTAAGTTGGTTTTTCTTCCGGGACACGTCGGGTCATTAAATCCACACAGCAAGCATGCACGATTGCAGAATCAGTTGGTGCAGTAAAAGTTGAATTCGCATATGCCGACTGGTACTTGTTTTTACTCTTTAAAGTGTCCATATAATTTTTCCGACAAATGAGAATGAATTCTGTCTTTTCTTAGTCAAAGATTGGGTTCATTTTAAAAGGGTAAAAAGAGTGATATGGCAATTTTAAATATTAATATTAATACGCATTTACAATTTGACACAAGAAATTTATATCTTTTTTTTTTGTTGCTTTATGCTTCTTTCGTCACCAAAACATGCATGTTTGGCACTAGACATTAATTGTCATCAAAGAATTATTGCTCACAACCACTAATGAAAAGAAAAAAATAAATAAAAAAGGACACCATCACAGGTTTTTGGGTTAATATTGTCAGGAATATCTAATATATCATCAATGGCGTCTCCAAGTCTATTGCTGACTGATTCTTGATTGTATTTGAACTCAAGACAGCCTTTTCTCAAACCCCTCCTACTTATGTTTAATAGGAAATCCGATTTTTCCTACAAGTTAAAACTTAGGATAAGTATCATTGAGAAAAAAAATATAAAAGCTAGGATAAGTATCAACATTCAACCGGACTAATTTGAAATTACTTTTGAGTACCTAGTCTTTGTCTATCCTTTACATTTTTTCCGGTTGTTGTTATTTCTTTGAAAAGTAAACGAAGAATTTGTTTGCACACTTACAGAAAAGAAAAGAAAAAGATTTTGCTTGCACTCTTTCGAATGCCCTTTCTTTGTCTATCCTATTCATTTTTCAATTTTACACTTAAAACATTTTAGTTATTTAATATTCTTATGCCAATTGGTTATTAAATTATCCTTGACAGCATAATAATCATTTAGGCAAATAATATATATAACCAAAAAAATCTAAGTCTCTAATGACAACAACTTGAACATATATATTTGAATTTAAGCACCCTTATCCTTCCAAACTTCTAAGCCCCTCTATATGAAATTTATACTAGATAAGCCTTACTAGAGCTAACATTTATGTAGGCCAAAAAAAAAAAGATGTTGGAAGTGAAAATGCTAAATATCCTCGGTCCCCTAGTTTTTTCTTTCTATACCAATCCTATATTTACTTTCGCTATTAAAAAAGGCTTTATGCACCAAAAAAAATTGGAAAAAGAAAGCAAATTCTATAAGATTTGGCAATTCTAATTATTATTATTTCCCTATTCACCCCCTCCCTCAACTTTTAATCTTCCTATCCACCTTATATCAAATTATCCTCATTATTCACAAAAAAAGGTAGATAATAAATTCAAAATTATTAAAATGTATTAAAATGGCTAATCTAATAATTGTTGAATGCTATTTTCTCTCTTTGCCACATTTTTAGTCTTCATATGCCAATCTATAATTAAGTTTCTTTTGTTATTCTAACAATTATGCAAGCAAAATAAAATATAGTAAAAGCCAAGATTAAAAAAATTATTCTATCAATTATTATTGCACTTAACACTCTCTACCAATCTTTTTCAGTCCTTCCATGCAAGTAGATGTCAGAAATCAATTAAAATTCCAGATAGGACAATAGAAAAGGATAAAGTTGGGACAAATGTACACCTCTCTCTTTAAATGATTATTTTAAGAATATTTTTATGATGTAAGGATGGATTTGTTACAAAAAGCTATGGTTTTAGTGGAGGTCAATGATATTTTTAAAATTTTAAGAAGACTAATTGATATTAGGCAAAACATCAAAAGAGGTTTTCAAAATTATTCCTATTTATGTAGCTAAAATTTGTATATCTAACGATGTCGGCAGTGGTATAAAGTTGCCCCACCCCTAAAACTATTTATGGATTCCATTGACTTGTTCTTCAACAGGTATAATTAGCAAAATAAAAATAAAAAATAAAAAAGGATGTCTTCTTTAACTTGCAAGAGATTAAATCGAGGAATAATTTCGAAAACCTTAAATTTTTTGACAATTTCGAGAAACTCTCTTCTAATTTTTAATACGATACATACCTCCCTTTAATGTGCAAAAGTACTCCTATAGCCCCATTATATTTACACACATATTTCCCACAAAAGGAAATGAGTATTGTCAATTTTATGCGACTTTTTCCTTAAATCTCACGACCAAATTGTCAAAAAATTTCCCTATTTCTCTTTCCTCTTTTCCCTTACCCAACACCCTCCTTGAAAATATTGTCAGTATTTGCTATCTTTCCTGCTCCCTTCCCAGTCCTTGTGGCCCTCCACCTCCATCCCTTCCCTCCATCTTCCTTCCTTAATATACTCAAATAATTGGATGCACTTGTCTTATCTGTATATACTTTAGTCGCATAATCATTGTTACTCTGTTAATCGTTCTTTCGTGTTATATAGGCTATAATTATTTTTATTATCAAGTCGTGTTGAAACGTCGATTAGATCAAAGCTTGCTAATTATACCAAATTTCAAGATATATAAAAATGTGATATGAGTAGCTTGTTTTTTAAGGCTTCTTGCCTTAGCTGATGTTGAATTTGGGGACCATTTGACCGTTTCAACAGGCATAGAGATGAAATTTTAAATGATATGAACAGACAATTGATCCATGGCGGACCACATATTCTGCTTGTAGACAAATACACTATTTGTTAAGGTCAGTGTGACTCCAAGCTCAGTGGTCCTTGCCTTCATTTCCAACTTGCATTATTCTCAGTTGTCATATTTCATAATTGAAAATAGTATATATGTCTCCATAAAATGCACTGAAGGCCTTCTTCAAAGTCTCAACTTGAGCAATGGTCACAATGTTTGGTAGTTTGAAGGTACAAGGCAAATTGATTTGCTAGATATTTCGTTGATTTCTTGAAATTTCTGTTTGCCAGTACAACTTGTAGCCTTATTGGCATATAAAACAAAGCTTAATAATTCTAAGTTTGCATGCAGTATTAAAGAAACAAAACACCTTTCGAGTTTTGCATCCCTGTCATAAATGGAGATAACGATGACAAAACACAAAAATACCTATCGGTAAAATTCAAGATTCAACGGTTTCTACAGAAACCACAAAATTATATTGAGTACATTTCCCTTGCATCCCTTGTATTCAACAGTTTCTATCCCTTTCATCCTGTCATAAATGGAGAGAAAATGTGATTAGTACAGTTGATTTGATTGATTAATTAAGAGAGAGAAGTTTTGAGGGGAAATTTTTTTTTTTTTTTAACCAAAGTGCATTAGTATATTTGATTGGGGAAAGATATAGCCCATTAATCTTTTAATATAGCTTATTTGTTTTATCTTCATGGCACAGAAAATTGGTAGTGCGAGCGAAAAATGTGATCACTGACCCTACTTTAGGGTAGCAAAAATGTTATTAACCCTTATTAAAACTGGTAATAAAAGTCACAGGTTCAGACAGAGCAAGTTAAAATGTTTAAATTCTTCTATGATTTCTTTTACACAAATACAAAATGTGCCTACTGAAAAAAAAAAAAAGATATCAATTTGCCACTTTTGTGCGAAATTTGAGTAGCTTTGTAAATATATTATTGATTGCACTGAGTGGTCGCGCAATTTGTGTTGTACACATATATGTATATAGCAAGTGCACAATTATTTTTTATACCTTTTTTTTTTTTTTTGTCAACACAGGGTGTCCGGGTCAAGACTCGAAGGCAGCCCGACTAATCCCCTCCGCCTGGAGTACAGCGTCATCCCAACTGCACCCAGGCGTTAAGTGAGGTTTGACCCCACGACCTGCGAGTGCCGGAAGCAGCTACAGACCGCGTGATCTAGCCCCGGGGCAATTATTTTTGATACCTGTCTACGTATTTCTGGTGTTTACAATTAAAGTAGCAGGCAAGTTTGAAACTTCCACTTCACTGCTCCTCCCAATCAATCGCAATCCCATATTAAAACAGGCAGTACTAGTAATGTACGGCCATTCATGAATTATGACCGTAGGCCATGGGCCGTCCTATCCACATGGCTGACTGTCTACCGGTAAGACATGTATACAAAATCGATTTTAATAAATGCCACTAAAATTACGGGCGTACATCTTGATTCGATAATTCATAAAGTCTGGTGATCCGATTCGGATCTTATCTGAATTTGCAAATCTTCGATCCATCCAATCATACGTGGATAAAAAAAAAAAAAAATCATACGTGGATAAAATCGCATTCAAATCAAAAGGTTGTGCAGATCGGATTTGAATATCATTTTTTACTATCAAAGTAATATTTGACCATGATCTACATAGCACTTTTATATTTTTTTTTAAAATTGTTCACACATTAAAAATCCACTAATTTATAATAGTCTAATCTCTTATTTCTTATCTTTATGTATACGTTCTCTTTCAAATTATGTTTTCTTCATATATGATGTTAAGTTTTAAATATAATGTCATATAATTTGTGGATAAAAAAAATTGTAAATAAAGTATTGAATCTTGTAGGTTTGAATTATAGTAAAAGAAAAGAATGGTGAGAGTTAGTACAAGCATCACTTATAATTTGGATTAAAAACTCATATGTTAATAACGCATATCACATTTAAATTTTCATTTTATCTTTGGGATTTATATTTTCTTAAAAGAATTTTTTTTTAAAATCAGATACGGATTAGATATTCCATCGATCCGATTCGCATAATGTGGATATCCACATTAGCAGATCTAGATACGAATTACAAATGGTTGATATTATTTTTGTGGAGCGGATGAGCCTTTTGAGTCACAGATCGGATGTATGATCCGTGAACACCCCTGACTAGAATATATCTAATATAAATCCCCAAACAGCAAATCCAAGTTGTGATAAGTTTCTGTATACTTGTCTTGAATAGTAAAGTAAGTTTGTGGAAAAGAATTTACAAATTTGGATTCATTGTGAGGAACTACTCATGAAAGGAGAGATTTTTAGATTGATGAGTAGGAATTTTGTCACATATTGATCAATTTGAGTGAGGAAAAAAATAATAAATATATAGATAAGAATTCGAGACCTACTAGCTGGCTTAATATTTTGGGTCACAACTAAGTTTCTATCTTATATATTGATCCTCTTTAGTGAATACTCTCAGATTTTTCTCCCCAACACGTTGGTATTCTGAAGTCGTGTTAAAGAATCTAGTGGACGCAAGCCTGCCTAATTATAGCAAATTCCAATATATACATATATATAAATATATAGCTTGTTTTACTAAGGTTGTGTTTGGATTGCATTTTTTAGAATTTTTTATAGAAAAATTACTATAGCAATATAATATATGTGAGAAAAAAGATAATAGGTAAATATGATCACGAAAAACGACACAATTTTCCGACAGAAAATAACTGTTCAAACAAGGCCTAAGGCTTCCGGTCTTGGCCGAGGTTAAGTTTAGGGGCCATTGGAATTTGGACCCTTTCGTGGTTCCGTACAATTGTTGATTGCCAAAGTGAAATTTCTATACGAAGTTATGAGATGTAGGTCAGGCAATTGATTTTTATGGGACCACATGCTAGCATTTTTCAAACTTGCATTAGTTAAGATGAGCGTGACTCCAAACTAGGCATGGTAATTCTAGACACACATGAAAATACAATTTGAACCTAATATGAATTTAGCAGGTGTAAATTTATTCTTCATGTTTGAGTTAAAATCAAGTTAGAGCCAAGTAACTTGCCAAGCAAATAGGTCCAAATCAAAGGTCAACCATAGGTTGACTCATTTGATCCATTTAATGTGTAAAATAAATAAATTGGGGGCATAAAGTTAAAAAAAAAAAAAACTAACCAAGGCTATCAATTAGTATTATGAGAATGCAATCAAGAATATTAAGTGAAAACAAAAAATTTTATTTTATTTGTGAAAGTGTCGCAATTTTATTTTTGTTCTTTTTTTTTTTTACAAAAAAGGAAAACCAAAAAGTTACTACAAGCAATATATACAAAATCTAGGATCGGGTTACAATTCTGTATATTTTTATGGAAACTCCATCATACAAATGCCCACCATGCTACTAACGTGAGAAGCCCACAAAAATTAAGCATGCAAGTAATTCAAATCGAGTTCGAGTAACCTGTAAAATTAACAAATTATATGCGGATCAAGGAAGTTGACCCATTTAATTTTTTGGGTCATGTTTGAGTTGACTTGTTGTTTAGGATAATTGAGCCTTAACTTGACCCGCCAACCCATGAGTCGACCTGATTATCATCCTTATATATTTTCTACAAAAGGAAATGAAAATCATCACCCTTATGTCCCTCTTTCCTTGACCTTCACGACCAAATTATCAAATTTCTGCTTTTTTTATAAATTAAAGATTTTAAATCCAAGATCTCTCATTTACAATTTTTTCAACCTTAACACTCAATCCAACCCCCCCCCCCGGCCTATTTCTCTTTCCCCTTCTCCCCATTCTTTACCCAACACCCTCCTCGAAGTCTTGGTGTTCACTTACCTTCGCAACTACAAACGGTTGGTGTTTGCTAACCCCGCTCCCATCCCCTCTCCTTGTGGCCCTCTGCCTTCATCCCTCCTCTCCATCTTCGTTAATATAATTGGGTAATTTGCTTCTTTTGCTCCCCTTTTTTGTCTTTTAGTGATTTTATGGGCTGATAAAATTGGATATACTTGTGTTATCTGTATTGTTGCTCTGTTAGTCGTTTTTTCCCAGTTAAATTGGCGATATTATTTGCAGCATCAAGTCGTGTTGAAGAGTCTATTGGACCAAAGTTTGGACGTCGGAATGAGTGGCTTGAGGCAGTTGCCATGGGAAGGCTTCAAGAGTGAATGCAAAGTGAGAGAAGGCTTTGGGCCATAACACAACATAAGGGTGAATTGTGTTTTGGCTCCACATTTTCAATGAGGAAGCCCTGGCTGGTGGTCAAAAAAGGACAATGAGTCCAGCCATTTTAGCATTTTCTTACACTTGCATATTTTTGTAAATGTAGAATTATTAAAAAGAAAATAATATTGAAATTTATATTTGAGTTTTGTTGTGAAAGTTGGCATATTCATTATTTTGGTTTTGTCTTTGAGATTGTTACATCCATTAATATGTGTCAATTTTTTTCAACTATTGGCTACAACAATTGCATGCTATCTTTATTGCGGAATATATTTAGCATTTTGGGGAAAATTTTTTCCTTTGATAAAGTGCTTTGATAACTAAAAATGTTTTGAGTATAACAAAAGATGTTTAGTATGTTGATTAGGTGTTTTAAACTTTAATAAGTGGGATAAGCTAGTATTTAGTTTCAATCCTACATTGTCAAACTTTTCTTTGCCGTTTTATCTCCACACTTTTTCATACTAAATCCATAGTATTTGTTAGACATAGGTGCCCTTAGCTTTTAAATATTAAATCAAAACTTTTTATAACAATTTTTTTCTAAAGAAAAACATTCACACCCCAATCTTAATGTAAGTTTTATATACAAATTCCCTTTTCTTGCTTATTTTTTTTAAACCTTTTTTTACCACTTACACATAATCAAAAGCTGAATATCAGTATGAAATAAATATGAATGTTATTCCACCTTGAAAAATGCTTAGATTTTGATTTTATGAAATTGAAATATGTAGATATTGCTATTTACATCGCTTTTAGTAATTGAAAATTCTTCGACTGCTAAATTAATTTTTAGATTATAAATAATAAATTAATATTCTTATGCAGTTGTCAAATATTTGAAGATATTATCTAACAAAAGTGCAAACATTGACCTTTTTGAATCAAAATTTCCTTATATAAGAGAGAAAGCCCAAAGTTTCTGAACCTTCTGGTCATTTGGTTCTTCCTATTGCCTTTGGCCCAGTAAGCTCTCTGTTTTCCAGCTTTTTCTTATTTTGAAGCTAAAGAACTAATTGACTTAGGTTATGTTTGACGCTTTTATTTGCGTACTTGAGGAATCAGATTTACTGGGACAATTTTTTCCTTCTTCGTTTTCTCCTCTTTTTTTTTGTGAACTAGCAAAATAGTTTTCTTTTGGTACTTCCTTGTGTTTGATTTCTGCCAAATTACTCTATAAGTTGATCCTTTTATTTAATTTTTTTTTGGGGGGAAAGTGAGTTGATCGTTTTATGATTTTGAGACTACTGTGCAGGAATTGCAGCCACTGCAACCCACTTTCTTTGCCTGGGTTTTGCCATTTAAGAGCCTCTATCTCTCTGGTGAAATTTTTTCTATAATTTTTTTCGAACTGAAAATTACTTTGCCAAGATATATTTTGCACTGGGCATCACAAAATGTCTTCAAATGGTAGGTCTAGCTCTTAACTATAGCCAAATAATGAAGTGTTAGCAGCAACATTAACAGAAAAAAAAAAGTAGTTCTAGTTAGCTTGCAATTTCTTCAACCATAATAGAAATTATTTCTTATTATGGATAGAAGATACATGTTTCTTTTTTTTAATATGTTGTGGATCTATTTGTTTGTATTTTCCTTCTAATTGCTGTAAATTTCGGCCGTGCATATGGGTGGATACCTTTTTTTTCTTTGCTCAGGTTTTTGTAAAAGTTATAATTGACGAGATTTTTTTAATTGGGTTTCTATTTCATAGCATCACGAATAACATTCAACTTGGTATGATTTTTTTAAATTTGATTTTTTTTTACAATTATTACAAAATTTCAATTTGAAATAGATAAAAATTTGGTTCTACAGGCGATTCTTTGTGGGGTGGAAAATATGTGAGCCAACCAAATGTAGTACTACTTTTCTGAATTACATCCTTTTTTTTCTTTAACATGGACGGTGACTTTTTTCACCATTTTTTCTTGGCAATATTTAGAAGAAGCACTTTACTTTATTTTCTAGGTTTCCCTTGACAACCATAACTTATTTTTGAATCTCTAACGAATATTTATTTTCAGATGTTAAATATTAAATAGTACCTATGGCTTCACTTAGTCTAGTTAGGCCCACCTTTTGATAGATTAGAATATAAGTAGGAATGGTGTAGAAGTTGCCGATTGACAGAATAAAAGTCACTGTTTACCCCTTCGAGCTAGTTGGTAATCACATTTTAATCCCCAAAATAATGGATGATGTACTTTTTAACACTGTAAAAGAATCTAAAATTTGTTTCTTTCAATTTTTCCCTCAAAATGATTCCTGATGAACGGCAACTTCTGTAATCATTGGCAAAACCTATACAAATAGTCAAAGCAGCAAAAATCTGGAATTTTAGCTATAACCTCAACATTCTTTAACCAACATGTATAGCATAAACTACAACTTCAGAACTAAAACTCTACAGACAATTCCAATAATAACCAGCAGCCCTTACTTCTTTCATTGATTTAGTAATGATCCCCTAAGAACATGGCCTAATTTTGAGTAATAGAGTGTTCGATAGAGTTTACCCTAGTTTCTAGAGATGCATCTCCTTAATTGATCCTATTTATTTTTTCTTTTGTTATTCCTTTATACCTCGTAACACCTGAGCATTGTTTTTGGCCATGCATCACTGCAACATTGGCAGTTCAGCCATTAAATCACTTTGGTTAATGGTGTTGATAAATTAGTTAACATCTGATCTTAAGGAGGACAAGATTGTATATATTTTTCGTTCAAGGGGACAAAGTGTGATCATACACCCTACTCAAAAGGAACAAAATATTATTAACTCCTATTAAAACTAGAAATAAAAAGTCACAGGTTCGAGAGTGGACAAATTGAAATATTATAAATTCTTCGGTGACTTCTTTTAGACGAATAAAAAATGTGCCTACCACAGTTATGAACAAAAGGTATGAATTTGCCACTTTTGTGCGGAATATGAATAGCTTTTCAAACATATTCTTGATTACATTGAGTTGTCACGCGATTTGTTTTGTACATTTATATGTAGCAAGTGCTCAAATATTTTTGACATCTGTATGCATATTTCCGGTGTTTATTATAAAAAATCAATGGCAAGTTCGATACTTCCACTTTCCTACTCCTCCCCGATCAATCCCATACCCAATCAAAGCATGTAGTACTAGCAATATATGCCCGTATACATGAGCCATGTCTTATCCGCATCGTTGACTGTTTACCCTCCGACATGCATACAAAACGATTTGAATAATGCCACTAGAATATCTAATATAAATTCCGAAACAGGAAATCCAAGTTGTGATAAGTTCGATATTGCAGCTAGGCAGCGAAGGAAAGAAGCACTGGACACCAACACATTGATGAAATGGTAGTTATTGCCACTAGTGCTAAACTGGAGAAAGATCGAGATATAAATCCACAACAAGCAAGTTCTCAGCTGCATTTTGTCTAGGAAAGCTCATGATGTGAGATTGGCAACCTTGGTGGAGGACATTTATCAATTAAGTTTGTTGTTTTAAATGTGCTCCTTTTGTTTAGTAAGAAAGGAATATAATCATATTAGTGTTAGAATTAGCTCATATGCCATAAGCATAATCGAAAATGAGGATGTTCAGATTCCTCATTGTCAAATAACACTGCTTGTATAGATCAATCGAGCGTTTGTTCGCAAATGTAAAGTTTTGATAATCTATAAAATCACTTGTCGTTTCGAAAAAAAAGAGATAAGTTTGATATTGCAATCATAATTATCTTCAACCGCCAACTCAATCATGGGGTCGACAAATTTCCATGCATACTTTATCTCTCCCTCTTCGAGAACCATGTCACGTAAATTTCCATATAAATGGAGAAGAGGATGCTCCAGCTTCCTCACCCTTCTCATTGTTTTCAAACCAAATCTTGAGTTCATAAACCAAGTTGTGTGAGGAAAACAAAAATGGATTCCAAGGCAATTCTCTTCCTATGCCTTCTGCCTGTAGTTCTGGTGATTGCTTCAGAGGTCACAGCCAGGGAGATGCATAACATACAATATAGAAGTTTTTGCATAACATAATTTACTCTAGATGATTTTTTTTTTCCTGCTAGAATGCAAGCACTAACTAATAATTCTGCCCGATCCCGTGACCATTTGCAGCCAATGCTGCAGAGAAGCGTATTAATGGTCTGGAAGAATCCAAGTATCCTGGTGGTGGATATGGAGGGTACCCTGGTGGTGGATATAGGGGTTACCCCGGTGGTGGTTCTGGTGGCGGTCGTGGTGGTTATGGTGGTGGCTGCGGTGGTTATGGTGGTGGTGGATACTGCCGCTATAGTTGCTGTGGCCGAGGTTATTATGCTGGTGAGTCTGTGGATGCTGAGCCTGAAACCGAACCACAAAACTAATAGCCAGGCCTTATGGATCATGATGCTTAAATGCCGCTGGTGCAAATTAAGAGGCTAAAAGTACTAAAATTATGTATTATGTGATAAAAATAAGAGCTTAATCAGTGGTATTCTTTTGACCATCAGGTGAATTACTGCAGATTATGATGTACATTTTTCTACTTCCAAGATGTGAAAATGAAATCTTATGTGTCTTTCAAGTTTCAACAGCCAGCACTTCTGCTTGATTATACTGGCTTCATTGTGTATGGTATACCCAAATTGTTCAAGCGTATTTGCTGAAAAAAATTTTAACACATTGAGGTTTCAACAAGAGATTCCCAAAAGCTAAATTGTCTTGAGTCTTGACTCCTTTCAGACAGGAAAAAGAAATGGCAAAATAGGTAAAGCTCGGTTTATGATCATTTACGAGTAGATCTGGAAACAGTTTTGTGCAACAAAGTTCAAGCAAAGAACAAAGTTATGTCCTTTGAATTTATATACTATATTGTGGTATTAAAGTTTATGAAATTAGATAGCCATGTTAATGATGTTGGAAAACGACATCTTACAATCAATTACAGAACAAGTTTTAATTGTACTGATCCAATCAATTCAGTGTACTGATCCAAAACATGATAAGTGAAAACCTCCTCATGCACAAGTTTTACACGTCCTCGAGTCTCAAATTCAGTGTGTCTTAATTTTTCTGTATAGTAGACAATAGCGCAATGTTGAATCTCTCGTAGTCAATTAGTCAACTAGATTTCTGACCTTCTCGTGAAACTAGTTAAATAGACAAATTCAGATTGAGCTTTTGACATGATTTTTGAATGGTTAGATTAAACAGTTTTTGGTTTTATCATTTCTTTTTAGGTGGTATACCATATTTGATAGACAGGTGATCGTAAGGGCTCTTTTTCTAGTTTTAGTCAAATATGCAACATTAATGGATAGAGAGTGAGTTTGTAAAATCTATTATAAACAAAAATCTGGATTAGACACTTACCCCCCCCCCCCCCCAAAATCTGGATTAGATACCCAAAATTGTAATTTTTTTTTTTAACAAAAAAACCCCACTTTGATGATGGTTAACTGATCTACAGATGAACCAACCAAAATTAGCCTTGAATTTGTTGTATTTTTTGAACTACTGAGTTTACGCATTTTTAGTGCAAAGCCACTAAAATGACTTCATATAGCATGAGATTAATTTTGCCATTAAATCAAAGGTCACATAGAAGAAATATTGAACTAGCAAATACATACAGTGCATATTACATCACTTCTCAAGCTCTTCTTTGTATTTCATCACGCTGAGCCTGTTTAAGCATTCGTTACAGTGCTCGAAACTGGCTTTATTAGTTGTAAAGCTGCACTTAAAGCAACAATATCCACCATAACCACCACGGCCACGACCAAGGTACCCTGCATAATTACTCCAAGAATATCCCCCATAACCTCCTCCTAGATAGCCTCCGTATCCACCACCAGGGTACCCTCCATAGCTGGTACTTGGCTTCTTCTACGCCATTTGTCTCAACTGTCTTGGCTGCATTGAAAATAATAAAGTGTGCATCTTTATTAGTAGTTTAATCTTGGTATGATTGATAATTTTGAATTTTGGCCTAATTTGTGTACATGCTTTTAGTTTAATGAATACTAAACTATGTACCATGCAAATTTAGTAACTTTACAATTACCATTAAAATGGTACACCACCAACTAATAGGTAGTTTCATCATAGCCAACCATAATTTACTAAACACTAACCAGTGTCCCCCGAGTCCCATTTGAGAAGGGCTATGCTTACAAATTAATTAAGGTGTATTTAAACTTTAAACTGAGCCTCAGCTATGCTTCAAAATACTCCAAATCTTTACATGTACAATAATTTTTTTGTCAATGGGCAACATCTACACCCGGCTGCTACTGTTACTTCTATACTAGAGGTGGGCTGAATTGGGCCATGGGGCGGCTCAATCGCTTTACTTGTACAGCTAAAATTAGTATATTTTATAAAATCTGTAATGTGAAATTTAGTGGTCCTAAAAGAAAAGGACGAAATTAGATTAGAGAACTAATTTCTCATAATTGTCAACTGAGTGAAAGTCTTAACCAATTCCCTATAGCAGCCGTTTCTGAGGTAATCATCAGACTATAGCCATGGAAATACAAAAGAAAATAAGTTTCTTGGAGCCCATTTTAATATGCTCAAGGTATTTCAAGTATTGAAATTTGATTTTTGATTGGTAAGAAAGCTGGCGTACATTGGTCACGGTTTATAGTTAAATCTCTGCAGAATTGCCGTCAAAAGGGTAGTTGCGTCAGCCAACTATGTAGTTGGGCATTAGAAAGCAGTTTGAAAACCGGACCGGACCGGCCGGTTCGACCAGTTGAACTGCGAACTGGCCATGACACCGGTCCGATTCCATGTTGGTGTTGACTTTGTCAGAAAACCGGTCAAATCCGGTCAAAATCGTGAAAACCACTGAACCAGATTGAACCGGCTTTCAAGTTTCCCTTTTCTTTTTTTTTTTTTTTTTTTAAAGTCTTGCAAAATGCTTCTATCAAGATTTGAACTCAAGACCTTTGTAATACAAAACCAATGTAGTAACCATTGCACCATCACATCTTATTTGTTTTTTTTGATAACTTATATATATATATATAAGAAACATCTATATTTTTTTTTTTCCATTTTTCTTACAAAGTCTCATTCTTTCATGACTCATTCTTTTTAATCTTCAACACACACACACACACACTCTCTCTCTCCCCCCTCTTTTTTTTTTGTCACTCCCTTTTTAATCAAATGATAGGGTGTTAATTGTTAGCAATTTTATTGTTAATTTCCCCTGTTATCCTTGCCAAATATTGTTTTAATTATTAATATTTACTTATATTTGGTATTGGACCCAATTTCAGGAGTGAAGCAGAAAATTACCAAAAAGGAGGGACTTGTATGGAAAAATGCAGATTTCTAAGGGCTTCAATCCTTGGGCCCTTGAATTGGTGGGGGACCACAAGCTAGTGAAAGGCATTTGGTCATTTGGGCTTCAAAGAAAGCAACGTAGAGAGACTTGGAACAAGAAGTACTTGGGAGGCTTTGTCCACATGTGTGGGGACCACCTAGATAGCTTTTAGTCATCTTTCTTTTGTTGCTTTAAAAGGGGGACAACGTACAGAAGCAAGAGATATCTAGGGCTTTAGTTTTAGTTTTTTAGTTTAGTTCTAGTTTTCTTTCTTTGGACTGGCCTCTGACACACGCCAGGTATTCGACAATATTCCCCAACGGGGAGAGTTTCTCATGAGGCGTGGTTAAGCTTTTCTAGTCAAGGGGACAACTGACGATTTGGTTCGACAATTACTGTGAGATCGAATCTGTTTTAATTATTTTCTTCATTTATTGGTATTTACATGTTCCTTGATTTTAATTGCTATGGCCTTGTGTATGATTGATTAGTGCGCAATAATTAATTATTCATATAGGCTATTTTTGCTAAATAGGGGTAATTGAATCCGTAATTGTTCGTTATCTCTACCTCAGTAGCAACTGGCGTAATTGGGTTTATGTCAGGGGAGCATATGATCTAATTTAAACAAACCCTCGTAGCGTGTTTGTTGGTTAGGATTGGGTCTTTCTAATTATTAATGCAATCTAGAAATTAAATCCTACGGTCGTACCTAGGGTTATTTTTGGGTTAGAGAAATAGCTAACGGTCGTACCTTAGCTATCGAGAAATTAAGGAAGGGTTGGTTGTTTATCGCGTGCATGACAACTATAACTAATCTATTGCTAAATGTTGGAATTATTTCTGCATCAATGATCAGTGCATGAACCATTTCTGATGTGTACCCTTGGCTAGAGTTTACCCAATCATTTCTTTTAATTAATTATTTTCTGCAGTTAATTTATTTAGTTAAGCATTTAATCCAAAACCCCCCATACTTTGGACTCTAGAAGAAACAAATTATCCCCAATCCCTGTGGATTCGACCCTACTCACTACTATATACAAAATCTGTATTTTTCTCGAGTAGGTTTTTATTATTGTACAGGTTCGGCACCTGTCAATTTTTGGCGCCGTTGCCGGGGACTGGCGCTAGTTATTTGTTTCTTTTTAAGTTCATCTTGTTTTCATTTTTTTTTTTTATAGTTTATGGCTGCTAGCATTCCATATTTTGATGATAGACCGGACTTTGTTCCTGAATGGGGTTATGAGACTCATGTTTTTCCTAATGATCAATGGGCTGTTGCAAATTGTGGAACTTATTTTGACTCAGGTTATTCAACTGACACATGCCCCGCATTTCAAGACAATCTAAGTGCTCCAATTGATATTTTCGGAGATTTTCCACCCCAATATCAAATGCAGTATGACCCTTATTCAAACGGGTATGATCAAGGATGGTGGGATAATTCCAGTTTTGATTATGCAACCGGGCCAATGGATTTTCAACAGCAAGAGTCTCAACAACCATCGTCCCTGTCAGGGTACCAGCAGCAATACCAACCCCGACCACCTCCGCCCCCTCAATCTGGTTCATCTACGGAGGAGTTGCTGAAACAAATGATGACAATCATGGCGCAAAATCAGCAAAGGACGGAGGCAGTTATTATGCAAAATCAGCAAAAGACAGACTCCGAAATGCAGGACATAAGGAATCAGATAGGTCAATTGGCCACCAGAATGAACCGTTTGGAGTCCCAGAACCAAGGGAAGCTGCCATCTCAACCGGAGTTGAATCCGAAGAACGTGAGCGCAATGATCATAAGGAGTGGGAAAGAAATTCAAGGGCCTGAGCCTGTGATCCCTATGGACAAGGATGACGAGCTGCAAGATTTTCAAGAAGAGAGATGTACAGATGCAGTTGAAAAAGAAGCTGAAAATGAAAAAATGAAACCCCAACCGCAACCCATTCAAGTGAAAGAATCCAGTGGAGAATCATCAAATGTGGTGACACCACCTCCATTCCCTAACCCGCATTTTCTTAACTCTTACTCCATGATTTCTGTTA